GGCCATCGCTATTAGGGTGGAGGCCATCGCTGTTAGGGTGGAGGCCATTAGGGTGGAGGACATCACTGTTAGGTTTTGCTTAGAAGCACGGAACTCCCAGCATTTCCTCCTGGAGCTCTCTTCTGGAACGCTGCAAGATGATTTCGGATGTTTGCCCGGCAGTCTCAGCTTGTCTCTGAGGAAATGGGTGCAAGATGACGCCTTACATATTGGGACACCTGAGAACCCACAGGGTTCAAAAGAACACAAGACGCTCAGAGATGATTCAGTTGGTCTTGAACATTGGAAAGAACATGACCTTGCAGGATCAGGTAGATCAATAGCAAGATGCCAACATACAAAGATTCAACACCTGGACAACCAGTCTCGATCGTGGAAGGACGCTGCTTTGGCCCTTTCCTCCAAGGAAGAACCTGCAGAATTGTCTTTCGAGTGCTGAGAATCTGCCTTGGTTTATCGAGAACGTCATCAATGTCAAGAGGATGCCTTGATGAATTTTGTTTCAGTCATGTCATTGAAACATTCTTAATACTTATTTGATCTTATTTGCCATATTTGCCAAACAAGGAAATACCACCCAGAGCAGCAGCTTCCACCTGTTTCAGCGGCCACCTGGTCCATTGCTGGAACCCCAAGAAGCGCGAAGTGATTGCCTCGGGGTAGGAAAGAAATCGCAGCCAACTTGCTTTCAGGAAAGAGACATGTGGTTATTAGGAACAAGTGCCACCCTACTAGGAACAAGTGCCTTACTAGTAGTAACAAGAAGTAATACTTTCACAGAACCAGGTGTCTCTTCGCAGTAGGGCAGCCAGCCAAAAGTGGTGGTTGGTAATTACACATGGTGAAGTGGAGTGTGGCAAGAACTCGTATGTTACCGGTAGAACCGTACCAACAAAACAGAGCAGGCCGATAACACATCTCCATGTTTGCTTTTTCCAGCTTTCTCTCTTGAAGTCTCTGCTTTTTGATATTGCTTTGGACATCTACTTTTGCGGACACGTCCATAAATCTCTACTTTTCGAGATGTTTCTCTTGCCACCTCTCTTTTTGGATACTTTTCTGGATAGTATTGTCTAGAAAATTCATCCTTGTGGACACATTTCCATAGAACCTATCCTTGTGGACTTTTCATTGTTTTTCGAAACTTTTCTCTAGGAATCTCTAAGATTCTTTAGAATCACTACTTTTTTACACCATCTTTCTCCAGGGTGATATATGAACCACCTCTGGAACAATGGAACACCTTATTCTTGTCTGTTTTCGTTCGACATTTGGGCTCCTTTCTTTCCTTACAACCTTTGAACGAGTTTTCAAGGGTCAGGAGTTTTGTGAGTGTCGCTGAGGCCCCAACATGGAAATTCCAGGACGAGAGCATAGGGGCTCCCATGGGCTCCCAATGGCCTCCAAACTAGCTTAAAAGTAGCTAAGTAAAAGGAGTGTAGCGATGGCCTCCAACCTAGTAGCGTCCTTATTACTAGTAGTAAGGCCGGAGCGCCCCTAGTAGCTTTTTGCTCCCAGTGGCGATGCCCTTTGTTAGTACTACTGATGGCCTCCAACCTAAGTTGAGTACTTGATCTCACTCAGCTCAAATGGTCGGTTAGTCCGAAAGTCTCCTGTTTAGGTTTGATGGGGTACATGGGAGAGCACAGGAGAAGCAGGTGCAAAAAATGCAGCGCTTTCATGGCGCTAGGTGTGGCCCGAATGTTTGCAGAAACTCTTCGAAACATGTGAGCTCGCTGGTGGTTTATGGTTGGCTGTCCTGGAAATTTACATGCCCTTGCAGAGCAATCCTGAGTTGGGAAACTCAAATTGAAATCTGAACTCCAGGTCTAGTCTCTGATTTGTGTGCGCACAAACAAGCTAGAGGGGGATGAAACAGTAAACATTCTCTTTGATAGCACGTTCAGAGCAATGTATACGGGAAGGGAGTGTGACTTTCAGGCACGAGATGAATCGACGGCCACGGGCGCCCGTGGTAGTCGCTCCACGCTTCAATCAGGCGGAGTGATTAGAACGAAGGGATTTGCTACTAGGAGCAAAGGGCATCGCTACTAGGAGCGTTCGGACGCTACTCACTGTCACCGTGACGACCAACGCACCGATAGGCCGTACTTCCAGTAGGCCCCGTCGCTGTCCCGCGTGCTTTTCAAGGCCGTGCGGTGTCATTTTTCTGAAACGGTTTCTTCGATCTGTGGAGTTGCCGCTTTAAGGTTTCCACAGGACAGAGATTCCTCACAAATCAGGCTGGGACTGCTTTTGGAGAGATACACTTGAACTCTTGGGCCATCTCCACAACTTGAGTTCCTTTTCTTCACCCAAGTGCCTTACTACTGGTAACAAGAAGCTATTAAATTGAATTTAATAGTTTGAATTTAATTTACTTATGAGCTTACGCCTGACAGCCGGGCGCCGGCCTATTTGGGTTTGGGTATGTGCAGGGCTGGGTCCTCTCTCTCTCTCTCTGTCTCTCTCTCTCTCTCTCTGTCTGTCTCTGTGTCTCTTTTTCTTTCTCTCTTTGAGACTTGGTGGGGCCTATATTGAGCAAAGTTAAGCTATCTGGTGCGCATCTTGGCCCTAGGTTGGGCCAAGTTGAGGCCATGTGGTCTATGTTGGGCACATCTTGGGACCATGTTGAGCCTATGTTGGGCCTAGGTCGGCCTATGTTAGGCCTATGTTGGCCTAGGTTGGGCCTATGTTGGGCCTATGTTGGCGTATGTTGGCCCCATGTTGGCCTATGTTGGCCCTATGTTGAGCCATCTTGGAGGCTATGTTGGGGATATGTTGCCTATCTTGGGCCTATGTTAGAGATATGTTAGGCAACTTATGTGCACAACACCCACGAAATGTCGATTAAGCCTGTCCGCGCGGCACGCATAACCGACACCACCGGCGCCCTGTTAGGCCAGAGTCGTGTCCGCCGAAGGCCACGAAACACTGTAAAAAACGGTGTTTTTGAACATTTTTTGAACAGCCTGCGCCAGATACATATGAATCGGTCGACACGGGGTCGACACGGGGTCGACACGGGGTCTCCCCGCGGTCCAACAAAAGGGTCGGCGGCAGGGGCGGCGAGCGTATATAACCTACGGTTACCAACCGAAGGCCTCCGGCAAGGACACGGGCCCGTGGCCGGCGCCCGGATTTATGAGGCTTACGCCTGACAGCCGGGCGCCGGCCTATTTGGGTTTGGGTATGTGCAGGCCTGGTTCCCCGCTCTCTCTCTCTCTCTGTCTCTCTGTCTCTCTGTCTCTCTCTCTCTCTCTGTCTCTCTGTCTCTCTCTCTCTCTCTTTGAGACTTGGTGGGGCCTATATTGAGCAAAGTTAAGCTATCTGGTGCGCATCTTGGCCCTAGGTTGGGCCAAGTTGCGCCCATGTGGTCTATGTTGGGCACATCTTGGGCCCAAGTTGAGCCTATGTTGGGCCTAGGTCGGCCTATGTTAGGCCTATGTTGGCCCAGGTTGGGCCTATGTTGGGCCTATGTTGGCGTATGTTGGCCTATGTTGGCCCTATGTTGAGCCATCTTGGAGGCTATGTTGGGCATATGTTGGGGATATGTTGGCTATCTTGGGCCTATGTTAGGGATATGTTAGGCAACTTATGTGCCCAACACCCACGAAATGTCGATTAAGCCTGTCCGCGCGGCGCGCGTAACCGACACCACGGGCGCCCTGTTAGGCGAAAGTCCTATCCGCCGAAGGCCACGAAACACTGTAAAAAACGATGGTTTTGAACATTTATTGAACATCCTGCGCAAGATACATATAAATCTGTCGACCGGATTCGGGCGGGGGTCGGGCGGGGGTCGGGCGGGGGTCGGGCGGGGGTATACGCGAGGTCCAACAAAAGGGTCGGCGGCAGGGGCGGCGAGCGTATATAACCTTCGGTTACCAACCGAAGGCCTCCGGCAAGGACACGGGCCCGTGGCCGGCGCCCGGATTTATGAGGCTTACGCCTGACAGCCGGGCGCCGGCCAATTTG